GGCTTGGGAGAGGCACCCGGGAGATGCTTGTATATACTGGTTTAGTTCAGGTCGTCTTGTGGTTTGGCGCTATGCCGTTGGGGTTTCTACCGCCGGTGCTTGCGAGCAGCTGCCGGTGGTTGCCGTTCTTGTCTTCTTCTTCGTCTCCATGGTGGAGGAAGGGAGGAGGCGCTGGATCTGGCGAAATCCCTCTCAATAAGCTCGCGGGTCTCTCAGATCTGGAGCTCAAGCTCCTTCTTCCTTACTTCTCCTCGAGCTGCCATGGAGGTGGATTGGAAGAAGAGGAAGAAAGGGGATTTGGCTGCTCTATCCTCTCTGCGTGTCCTTGGAGCCCAAGTTCTGCAGCAAATGGTTGGGGATCTTGGTGCAGAGAGCACCAGGAGTTTCTTGCCACTGCACCGCTGTATCTGCTGGTCGAAAGGCGACCACTCGGAGTTCTGGCGACGACGTCCGGCTCCTGTATTTCCTCCTGGCCGCCGAGCCATATGGGAGGCAGTTTATCTGGTTCTTTGTCCTGGTATTTCCATGGTCTACCTCCGGTTGTTTGCCGGCGGTGTTGTAGCCATTCCTTCACCCCAAGTGGTTTCGTCCCCGGTGGTGGTGGGATCGGGCCAGGATCGAAGACGGCGAAGAGGACTCGATTGCTTTTCATTTTTGTTGTCTGGGGTCCTATCTGCAAAATGTCCGGCCTGGGTTGTAATTTTCTCTTTCTGTTGGGCCTTTCTGTAATATGTTGCATGCTTATCTAGTATAAGTCTGGGTCCTTCGGGGCCCTTCTTGTGTTCAAAAATAATAATAAAAAATGGATACTTGGTCTACGCTATTATTTGTTGAACTTAGGTGTGAAATTGTTAGCGTATGGTCCATGTCTAATGCCACAGGTGGCGTATAAATTGAAAAGTTTTAAAGCATCTACAGTCGAATTTGGCAAATCCGAACCCTCAAACGCCCGCGGACGCGCGACCGTGACTGGTCACGATCAAAAAATGCATTCCATATCTGGATATCCCAAATTAGAAACCTCAAATCCATATTATTACACAACGTGAAAACTAATCTAAGCGGAGCTCGTCCGGTTGCGCTCCCCGCTCGCCCGGCTCCGCCCTGGCCATGTCCGGCGGCCGGCTGCGCTCCTCAGAGTGTTGGCCCGGTCAACGGAAAGATAGAGTAGGGCATGGGACACGAGCCGGCTCACGGGACTCGAGGCGCCGCCGTCTCCCATGCCCTACTTGTTGTAGGGTGGAACCCTAAGTGAAGATCTTTTCACACTTGGAGGGAAAAAGGATGAACACCAAGAACACAAAGAGGAATTCACTCCAACAAAACTCAGTTACACATCCACTAGAATAGCAAACACACAGATCCACAAGATACAAGAACGATTCAAGAAAACAAGCACAAAGGTAAAGTTCTTCACACTCCTAAGGAGGTGAGGTCTTGATGATGGTCTTCTCCAAAAGGAGGTCTTGATATCCACTTGGGATATTCTCCTAGGAGGTCTTGATCCCCAAGAGGAGTGGTAGATGAGCAAAGCTCTCTCAACATCTCAAATACACTATGCTAACCATAACAAATGACTTAGATCCGAAATATATAGCTATAGGAAGGTAGGGGACGACTTGGGAGGCAAGGCAGGGCGTCCTCGGCTGAGACCTGGGAGGCCCATGCGCACGAGGTAAGTTGGGCCCATGCACACGGGGGTTCCGTGTGCACGGTACACGCCGGTGCGCACCGGGTGCTACAGCGGTCCGGGCCCATGCGCACGGGGTCTGGAGTATAGCTGGCCAAACGGGCCGGCCCGCGTGCTGCAGCCTGCAGCCCAGGCACGGCCCAGTTAGTAAACGGGCCGGCACGTTGGCCCGTTTAGCACGGTGGGCTGCATAATTTTAGCCTGTTATTTGACGCACTGAGCGTTTTTAGCCTATTTTTACATGTTGGGCCATATATA